TGTCCTGTGTGCTTTTCCCAGACTTCAATTCCAAACAACATTATCTGCTGCCCCCTAGAGGTACTAAAAGCTATTACTGAGGGCAGGAAAAAAAAAAAAAGGAAACAGGTAAGCAGACAAAAAATTATTTTTCCTCCTTCAATGACAAAGAAAACAAATCATATGATTTGGTGAACCAATAATAAGTTTAAACCAAATGAAATAATAAATAAGTTCTGAGATGTATGTTTATATATATTTACATATATTTCAAACATGTATTTAAGTACAATATATATTTATGTAATATATTTAATTGGTATTCAATTGTAAGAGTTTTAAAACATGCATATATCTTTCCAATTCAAACTGATGAACTGCTATCTTTTCATCACATTTGGTTCTAATTTTTTTGGTGGTTTTCATTGGGTTTGTTTCAAGGTTCAGCAAAATTAAAATGTGTTCACTGGTTTTCCTTGTTGACCCTCTTATTTTCTCGAGACATATGCTGTCCATGATTTAGCTTTAGTAATATCTGTTACCAAAGATTCACAAATTTGCCTTTCTTAGATTTTCCTTCTAGCATTTCCCAAAGGGCAAGCCAAAGTTCTGGCTCCTCTGATTTCTTCATATTCTAGTTACATCTACCAATAACCCTAATGAGTGGTTATTATAAACCCCGTTTTTATGATGAAAGAACCAGGTTACAGAAAGGTAAAGTGATTTTACCAAGATTATAGAGCTAGTTTAAAATTATATTATAGAGCTTGTTTAAAAATAGGTTGTTTAAAAATTCAAACTAGATTGGTCCAACTAGGAAAAAAAAAAGTTGTACGTTCTCTAGAAACATTAATGAAAATTAATGAGAATAGTCATTCTCTTTTAACTTTATTAACATGAACTTCAAACTCATATCTCATATTATCCTTCCTACCTTTCCCCTAAGCTCTGCTACCCTTCCACACCCTGTTTAATGGTACCATAACCTACCCACCAACCACGCCAGCAACCTCCCACTGTGCTCTTACTTTTTCCTCACCCCCTTTAGCCCATGTTATTATGCACTTTTATTTTGAGTCTTGATCGCTCTTCAGTCACCCTCCTGCCCTGCCATCACCTTGAAGCAGGCTCATACACAAAGTACGGGGGCCCCCTCGCTCCAGCTTCTTTCCCTCTAAATCAGCCAATGACTGCAAGAACAAATTTAATAATGACACTTCTAAAGACTTTTTTGTTGTTGTTGTCTTGTTGCCTCTTTTTCTCTAAACTTATTATTTCTCATTCCCTTCAAATCTGGTTTCTAGTCCCACCACTCTAAGAGGCTGCTCCCTCAATTCCTTTGCTCAACAAGTATTTACCATGTGTTCATTTTGTGGTAGGTTCAAGGGATATCTAGGGGAAAAGGAACCATTTTAGCCTTAAGAAACTTAAAGCCTAATATGGAAATAGATACATCAACAGATAATGTGCTAACCACTAAAGTATTGTGGACAATAGGGTAAGCAGGACCTAAGCTTGCCTAAGAGAGTCAGGGACATTTCCATGAGAGGACATTGAACTGTCTGAACGAGAAATAAGAGTTGGTCAGCAGAGCATGGGTAGAGAGCATTCCAGACAGAGCAAAGTAAAAAAATACAAATGTAGCAACTAGCAGATGAGGCTGGTGAGGGTGCTTTGCTAAGGTGTACAAACAATGAACAGCAATTAAGTGATTTTAAGCAGGAGAGCAATTTGGATTTGTGAAAGATCACTCTGCCAACAATTTGGGAGCGTGGAATGGAGAGGGGAAAGATAGACAATGAATGCCTGAACTAAGAAGAAGGTAGGAAGAATAAAACACTTAAAAAAAATTCAAGATGTAAAGATGGGACTGTAAGATCTTCATAGGCAGAGATTTTTGGTCATTGATGCATCCCAAATACCTAGAACAGAGCCTGCCACAAGTAGATGCTCAATAAGTGCATATTGGATTCTGGGAAGATGGTCATGTTACATAGTTTTTGAATCTTGAATCTCCTGTGAAAACAGCTTAACAACTCCTCTCACCTTACCCCTTATTTCTCAAGTTACTCATTCTCCAAGTAGTCTTTCTGCATCTTGAATACATTTCATCATTACAAATACCTCATATTTTAATTATTTATATACATATCTATGTTGTCTGAAAGACTGTAAGCTCTTTAAGTAAGCTGATGCCATTTCATTTCTTCCCCTCACATCTAGTCTTTTTTTCTGTCACTTTTTTGGTACTAAAAAAATTAGCATTTAAAAAACACCTAACAAGGAGGAGCCACTAAGAATTTATAACAGCAGCAAATCAAAATTAATGTAAAGTCTATCACAGGTAGAATTATAAAATGTACTTACAAAAATGGCACTAATAAGCTGACAAATAATAATGTTAATACAATTTTTATTGAAATAAAAACTGTCTAGAGACAAGTGGAAAAAATAATTTATTGCAGATTCTTTTACACATTAACATGGAACATTTATACATACATTGATATGCTGATATGAAATACTAAATTTAAAGACAAATATTTTTTACACAAAAGTAGTTGCACTATATTTTATAAAGATAACTATTAATAAATTATCGGAGACATTTAGGAACAACGGGGCCAATTATTCCAGTAGGAATGCATTCTATGTTGAAATTTAACTTTTCTGAACATGTTGCCCTGGACATAACCACATTCTTCTAAGATAAGAAAAGGAAGCTCATTTCTGGGAATAAAGGGCCAAGAATGGCTCTAACAGGAGTATCCCAGCAGTGTGTTGTCCTCAGCTTTATTCTTGGATGTAGTTAGAGCCCCTAAACATTTAGTCCAAGCTCCCTCAGTGTGAAGCAGTGTAGCTTCCTATAACAGCTGCATGTGGTTAATGAGGTTTAATACAAGGGATACAATAAAAATGACAGCATTTTTAGAGGAATTATAATTGCCACATGATTTGAACGAGCAACCAAATACTTTAATAACAGAAATGTGTATTTTATATTTCTGAAGGGACATTAGCATACTTCAAAATAGTTACTATTTTCTGAGCACGTTATATTAATTCTTACTTTGGGAGTCTGAAAATAAATTGCATTTCTTTCCTAAAACTTAGAATTCATTCCTTTAGAAAATGATTTCCATAATGATATACACAAACATGATATAAACTTTGTTACACATTATAGTCATTAAAATATACATACACATATATATGGAGCGCTGAACAGATTTAGTTCAGTTTCACTTAATTAAATTCAACAAATATTTATTGGGTGCCTACTACTTGCAGATCACGATGTCAGGTAATGCACGTAGTAGATTTTAAGACACAGGAAGCTCACATCGTTCACATCAAAAGCCAAATTTTAGATAATATACTAACACCTTAAAAATAATCAAAATCAGAGCTAAAGTTGAATAATGGATAGTGACAGATATATGTTGGGGAAAAGCTTGGGATAATTGAAAAAGACAAAGCAAAATTCGTATTCATAGGAAAGAATTGCTCCTCAGCTTGGCATGTGTTTGGAGATAACCGGAACCTAATCTGCAGTCCTCTTCATCCCACAATCTGAGATTCAGTTATCGTCCTGCTTTGTTTCCTTTAAAAAGTGGAAGTATTAATAAGGGACTGATTTGCAATGACGACAATAAAGCTTGTAGTACTCCCTAAATATGTGTTGCTCTCGCTGAGAGTGTGATCTGCATTAAAATCTACAGTTTCTATAAATCATTCCCACTATAGTTCTGGGGAAACAGGGCCACCCAACTAAGATGACCAACACTTGAGGGATGGTTTACCAGAAGAACATCAGTAAGAATGCCAACCCCATAGGTAAATTGTTTAAAATAAAAGCATCGGAAAGAAGACAAATATTTAAAAACCTTAGCATTCCATTCCCTTTAGGACTTGTTATACTCTAAAAGCATTTTTAGGGATACACACATACTCGAAAAGAAATATAATGTAGTCGTCTCACTCCTTCTGAAAAACCAGTGCATTGACAGGGGAACGAAGTATCAAACTGGCTTCTGATGCAACACATTATTAGTAGGAAAAGGCATGATCTTAGCCTGTGCAATTCCACTGTGAGTGTGGCATGACTCTAGTATGGATGAGCTGGTATTCTGACGTCCATTCTAGTACACAGGATCTGGAGTACAACCATAGTACAGTACTCAAGAGCCCAAAGCTTCCCTAAGGAGTTTTTTAGATTCTGACAAATTATAAATCACTCATTTCTCTAGGAGAAATCTGCAAGAGACTTGTATTCACCAAAATCCCCGAACACTCCACAGGGCAATATCTTGGCCCTTAGTAGAATTGTAAGCTTCATGGTTAAGAAACTTCCTATGAACTGCAGCCCTTATTGAGCCCTAATGGTGATCTCAGAGCTAGTTTAGGGTGCTGAGGAAAGGGACAGGAGGTTTCCCTTACAACCCTATTTACCTCAGTCATGTTTGACCTGGATTACAGAGGAAAAACAACAGCACAAAAAATGGCCTTCTCTATCTAGCGCTTTGGTTTTAATGTCCTTAGAGAACAAAAGACAGCAACCATAAGTATTCCCTAAAAAGTGTTTACTGTTCTAACAGGTTCATTAATGGTTCTGTTATTTCTGTTGATTTTCTTAAGAGTTAATTTTTATAAGCAAGAATTCTTCTCAAATGAAACATATTTTCAGTGATTATGATTTAACTTTTCATGTTTATGCTCTGTCTTTAAAATTTTTAAAAATAAGAATTACACTCTGATTAGTCATACCTCTGTTCCTGTATTTTTTCTGGATAGAAACCAAACTTGCATTGGTTCTTTTTTGCCCTTCATGGACACTGGGCCTCTGTGCTCCAAATGAAATTGTGGATCTGAATTTTCTGGAGACATAAGACATCTAAAAGACAAGGGACAGGGAATAGGGAGAGAAGTATACAAAGGTTGTACAGAAGAAGTGACATGTACCCAAGTTATAAATTGAGACAGCAAGAACAGAAACTAAAGTTATATGGAAAGGTAATTCAAGGTTATAGCAACAACGATTGTATCAGGAATTCTTAGGGTAGTGTGGGATCATTTAAAATGGAAATATTGACATCATCTTCTCAAATAAAAAATGAACAATCCCAAGAGCAGAGAAGGAGAGGTGATAACTGTTTAAAGGCAACAAAATCACTCAGAGTTAAACCACATGCAAAGACATTTTCCCTGTAAATCAGTAGAAGCCTTGACATTTCTCTTACCTGTATGTGTATTCAGAGACATTTATTTTTCCCTTTTCTCCTGTGGTTTCTGTTCTGCTTGTGAGGTTGACAGTATTTCCAAAAAGACAATATCGAGGCATCCGCTGTCCTATGACACCTGTAACTACCTCTCCAGTGTGTATCCCTATGGTTATCTGAAGAAATTAAAGTTTGCTTCAATAACTTCAATCACTAACACACAAATTTTTGCTTACTTCATATTACAGAATAATGTTGTGTCATCGCATAAAATCATAAGAATTATCTATAAGAATCCCAAGCATATGAGACGACTTCAAAAACCCTCCCAAAATCTTTGTCTCCCAAAGGAAACATTTTGCCCCAAGAGAAAACGATTGAAGTCTGAAGATTTCAAGCATGTGAATTTGCAACTTACATGAGACATAGGAAAGAACTTTTTGAAAATAAACCAGAGGGGGCAGGAGATTTTATCTCATCCTTACGACTTTCAGTACATGGGACAAACTAGATAATTTCAAATAGGTACAGGAAAGAACTTTTTGAAAATAAACCAGAGGGGGCAGGGGATTTTATCTCATCCTTACGACTTTCAGTACATGGGACAAACTAGATAATTTCAAATAGGTAGAAAAATTTCCCATGTCTATGAAAAAAATACTGCACAATGGGCTCAATAAAATATTATAATCTTTGTTGTCAAGATGCCCTTACTAGTACATATTAACGATTTCCTGATCAAAAATACGAATCACTTGTCCACAAAGGTTTAGTGTGTATAATAGTTGTCCACTACTATAATATATATTTTATTTACTAACCTGAACAGATTCACCATCTACTTGAACCTGGCCAGCAATTTCCATCATATCCAATGCCAGGTGACAAATGGATCGTGCATGGTGGATGCATGGCTCTGGTAAGCCACTCACTGTCATATACTTATCACCAACGGTCTCCACCTAGCATAGAATATGTATTTAGACGTTCTTTGGTTAGTGTAAAAATGACTGTTTAGATCCCCTTACAGTTCAGTAAATAATTTATTACCTTATTTCCCCTTAAAACAGTGATGGTTCTGTGGCACAAGAGCCGCTGCCTGAAGCTCAGTGATTTATCATGGTTATTAAGCATTTTTTTTTTTTTGATGCATTCACCAAGTGCTACATCGTGCCTCAGAAAATGACTACAAAATAAACAGTCCTTGTGGAGTTATATTACACCAGGTGCCTAGGGATGGTTTAGTTAACATTCTTGCTTTTATGAAGTAATATTCCACTGACTTCATTTTTTCCAATATTATATTTGTTTCTAATTGAGACAAAGGGCAGAAATGCCTTATAAATGTTTATCTTCAAGTTGATGTTATCTAAAAGCAAATCTAAGTCCTCAGTACCCTTTTCATGCTCCATGACCTTTTTACTGTGCAAAGCATTTATATATTTCAGTAAAAATGTCTCTTGCAGAGCATTAAAATGAATACCATGTTTATACTAAATGTGGTAAACAACCTGCACAGATTTGTTAACCTAAGCACAAATAAGCTGCTGAACATTTCATTTTAACCAGGGAGTCATCCACTCCATGAAACATTCATTTTAGTTACAAAGAAGAGAAAGTTTTATAACAAGAGGTAATTATTTAAGAGATGGTAGGTAGTGACTACGTGGAGGCTTACGTATGAGGGCTGTAGCATTACAGGCAGAGAGCTGTGAGAGCAGTGACCCTGGATTGGAGGCTGAACCAGACTCTGAATAGCACTGTAGGAGGCTATAATGAGGACTTGCCTTATAAACAAATGGATTTTTCCGTGAATCAGTCAGTGTGTCAAATCTGGTGTAGAGGTCATTGAGAAGGTTTACAATCTTCATGGCTCCTTCTCCGGATGCATGCTTGCTACAGAAAGCATTGAAGCCCACAATGCCACTGAAGAGGATGGTCACATTGTCGTATCTTTTGGCAGGCACTGGACGTTTATGTCTCAGCTCATTGGCAACAGATGGAGGAAGGACAGAATACAGCAATCTGTTCAGCGGGATCAGAAAAAAGCCATGGTAAGGAATACCTTCAGTGCTTCTGATGTCCCTTTCATAGAGCACCAATGTCATTTGCACTGTAAAGGACTGGATTCTGATAGGACACCCTCTATAATTACCATCAAATATTAGTCATATTCATATGCAAAGAAGCAGACATATAGAAAATATAAATCATTTGTTCATGCTAATAACATAAAATGTCCCCAAACCTAAACCAATTTGAGCCAAATCAAAATAAGCCAAACAAACACACAGACAAAACAAAGGACTGAGAATAGAAAATCAATGTTTTCATTTGTAGTCCTGTATTCCGAGTCTGCTATTACAATATTCACAGTGTGAAAGTTGTCATTGCCAGCGTTTAAAAGATTGTAAGAACAGCACAATACCAGAAACACGTTTACCTCCCAGGAATAAGAAATTGATCTTATTATTATTTTTTTTTTTTGGAAAGTAATATTAAAGGAAGCAGGATTTCTCTCCAGTCTCATTCATGC